AAATATCCAAATATTGGCGAGTATTGGTGAATGTATAACACATGTCAGTATTTAACTTTCTACTAGAAATATCCAAATATTGGCGAGTATTGGTGAATTTATAACACATGTCAGTATTTAATTTTCTACTATAAATATCCAAATATTGGCAAGTATTGGTGAATTTATAACACATTTCAGTGTCTAACTCTCTACTATTTTTTCTAAATAGTCTGTACAATATAGAAATAACTCTCCTTACTTTTTTCAAATTGAACAGTATGCACATACATGTACAATTATTGTTTCTAAAAAAAGTTCATTATTATAAAAATAGAACGATTAGGTTAAATATTGAAAAAGTGATATTTGTAGCTAATCACGTGCTTACAGTCAACTAAACATACGCAGAAACATAAAACAGGGAACATTAATTATTATATTTATTTGGTAGAGGTTGTATTATCAGAGTAAAGCTTTAAAGTGATAAAATAGCACGTTTGCTTAAATCATCCGGTGTTTAACTAGACGCCCCTTCACTTCTAACCCTAAATACTTTTATCAACTAGTTTTCGTAGCTAACGTATCCAGTATCTATACAAGTTATTTATTACACGTGACGTGTTGAAAGTATTTTCCATATCCAAGATCGTGTGATATCAATTTATTAGTGCTTGTGCAGGTGACAATATCACGTATAATATGTTCCCATTGTTCTTCTTTTTACTTTTTATATACGTAACGTGCGCATAAAGCACTAGAACATTAATTGTGATCCTTACGTAGTGCCACACATTGTTTAAGTTAGTTAGAACGTTTCAACACACACGCACATTTTTTGTTGTTGTTGTTTTTTTGCTGTATAGATAAATACGTACGTTTGATTGGATATTATTAAATTATCACGAAGTTCGTACATATATAATACTTCGTTTTGTCCTTAATGACACACTTCAACATAAACTTTCCACTATGTTGTTCATAATAATCTTTAATAAAGAACAGAGTGAATTAGAATAATAAGAAACATAACGAGCACTTTGAAATAGGTAAAACTCAGTGGGTTGTTTAAATTAATTCTATAAAATATATAATAAATTCTAATATTTTATAAAGGAGACAAAAAACAAACAAACAACTAAATATGAAGTGGGTTTTCCAAAAACTTGGTCTCTTGCAGCTGGCAGCTCCTTTACTTCAACTTCCTGGGCATAAATCAAAGATAAATACCATTAGTCAGGACCAGCAAATGAAGCCGAAGAAAGAGAAAGTAAGAACATGTGTATTATCTACTATGTTTGTTAAAGGTGTCAACGTTTAGGGCAGATATGCTATTGACGTAATGATAAAGTTTAGTGCTCTTTCAACTCACTCAAATATGTACTTGAGTTAAGGATAAAGTTTAATGTTGAACTCATTAAGATATCCTCTTCAGTTGAGGATGAAGAAAGTTTAATGTTCAAATTACTCAAGTGTGTTTTTGATTTAAAGATAAAGTTTAATGGTCATCTCACTCAAATACGCTCTCGATTTAAGGATAAAGTTTAATATTCTTTTATTCTTAAATCAAAATCATACCTGAATGAAATGAACATTAACTTTATCCTTAAATCTAAAGCATACTTGACTGAAATAAACATTAAACTTTATCCTTAAATCTAAAGCATACCTGACTGAAACAAACATTAAACTTTATCCTTAAATCTAAAGCATACCTGAGTGAAATAAACATTAAACTTTATTCTTACGTCAACATGATATTCAAATGAATTAAACATTAAACATTATCCTTACATCAACAGCATATATGAGTGAGTTGTTTAATGTTTATTTCACTCGGATATGCTTTAGATTTAAGGGTAAAGTTTAATGCTCAACTCCCTCAAATACCATGTTGACGTAAGGAAAAGTTTAGTGTTTAATTCACTGGGGTATACTTTCGACATCAGGATAACGTTGCTTGTAGTTATGTAATATAGTTTTTGGTTGTTGTTAAGCAGAAATATACAAAATGGTACATTTGTGCTTTGTTTTACCACGGGTAACGAAACCTGTGTATTAATGTTATAAGCCATCAAACTTGTTTCTGAATCATCGGGAAGCGTTATGTAAAGCCTTTATTGTCTTTGCGTATTTAACATTATTGTTTGGAGATACAGAAACTATTATAATAATATATTAGTGCATCTATCAAGGAATGTATTGGTCAGCACAATAATATTGAAACTTGAAAATGTAACAACATAACACCAGCGGCACCGGTACATTTTTTATAGTGAGGGTGTTGAAAGCCAATTAAAACACTGTAAACCCTTTATATGATGGAATATATATGTATTCGTTTGTTATATTGTGTTAAAACATGATAATAAAACAAGCAGGTGCGCAGCACCCCAAGTTCCAGCGCTCTTGCATAACACAGGCATTACATGAAGACTGTATGGCATTTCACATTTGTAGCTTTGCGTACAAAATTAATAGCTTCAAATAAAAAGGTAAAATTTGAGAAAAATAACTTCGGTCTTAAAAACATACATTAAGAGCTTGAATTCAACATATTTATAAGTTTAAACGGATTTTCCACATTATAGCTTCTTCAGACTTGCTACATTTGTTTCTCTATCTATTCTCGACGCAGGGCTTAGACAGAGAACCTTACAAAACTTTGTAAATTCATAGACTATTGTATGGCAAGTGATCACAGTTCCTATGACTTCACATGGAACTGAAACGTAGATATTTATAACATACGCCATAAAACTAGACTTGTTACACGTCGTTTAACTTTAAAAAAATAAATAATTAACAAAATGATCAAGACTCTTCTATCAAGAGCAGTTTCGTGGCTAATGGTTTATAGCAGTGACATTTTCTTCATGAAAAAACAAAAAACTTCCACATTTTAGTTGTTTGAAACAAATATGGCAGTTCACTTTAATCTTATAACAGTATTCCTATAGGTTTATTAATAATATTTTTTATCGTATTATATGTTTCACAGAAGACAGTCGAAAATGAAAATGAATATGAAAACCTAATAAATGAAGCAGTCGATACAGCATTGACTATCATGGCGTCTGGAAAGTGGAAAGAAGAGAAAACACAAGGACAAGATGTTGTTCAGAGCTGTATAGTACCGGTATACGGGAAAGTGTTTAGATTCATTGTAAGTATATTTATTTGTGAATAATATTCATTCATGTGATGGTGAAAATGTTAATATAAATATTTACTGAGATACTATTTAGCGGATGTAATTTAAAAAGTCGTCTCATAACCCACATAAAACTTGTTGAAGAGTTTTTCAGCTTGTGAAAGCCCGAATTGAGCTTTATCTCACTACTTAAGTTTCGAAGCTGGGAAGTGAAAATAGTAACTTTATTTGATTGAGTTTGTGTAGTCTATATTTATTGACACACGATGACAGCGTGTATATCTTTACATTAGTAGACTGTGGTTCGTCACTATCCTCTGTTGGTTGCTGCCTCGACAGACACTTGTTCAGAAGTGTGTTTTATATATTTTGGCTGCCATAACCATATTGTCAAAAGACATGTTGTAAAACTAGTATTGGCAGCACAAGACTATCTTCAAACTTCATCTTTGGTCGGTTGGTTTCTGAATTTTTTGATGACAGAAACTAAACGGCATAGTTCTGGCCTGTTATTAGAGAGTAGACTTCTATATCTGATGTTTGTACCGGTACATGGATAATCCTCAATGGTCTCTGTTTATGTAGAGTAGACTTCTATATCTGATGTTTGTACCGGTACAAGGGTAATCCTCAATGGTCTCTGTTATTGGAGAGTAGACTTCTATATCCGATGTTTGTACCGGTACATGGATAATTCTCAATGGTCTCTGTTTATGGAGAGTAGACTTCTATATCTGATGTTTGTACCGGTACAAGGGTAATCCTCAATGGTCTCTGTTATTGGAGAGTAGACTTCTATATCCGATGTTTGTACCAGTACATGGATAATCCTCAATGGTCTCTGTTTATGGAGAGTAGACTTCTGTATCCGATGTTTGTACCGGTACATGGATAATCCTCTATGGTCTCTGTTATTGGAGAGTAGACTTCTATATCCGATGTTTGTACTGATACATGGATAATCCTCTAATAACAGAGACTATAGAGGATTATCCATGTATCAGTACAAACATCGGATATAGAAGTCTACTCTCCAATAACAGAGACCATAGAGAGTAGACTTCTATATCCGATATTTGTATTGATACATGGATAATCCTCAATGGTCGCTAAAAAAGAAAACAAAGAAACAAACCTACAATTATCGCAGTAATTACAGATACATTTGAAACTGATAAACCAGCACATTTTTGGACAAATACGCTCTGAGTTAAAATCAAAATTTGACGGATGAAGAGCTTTATCAGCAGCTCAGGCTAACTTGTGCGTTGAGCTACTACTGAGTGATAATGTTAATAAAACAATGGTGAGAACACAATCAATTTTGTTCTAAATGTTTCGGTAATATTTATTTTTAAATATATTTTAATATGGACTTCCCTTATTTCAACTTAACAAGAAACCATTCCTATTCTCTGTTTTAATTCTCAGCTATTATATTGTGTAAGCATTTTATTAATATTTTGCTGATGTTTTATTAAAGTCTGACACTTTATGAAGCTCACTTACTTGGCCAGGTCCTGTAAATTTGGCTTGTTGTAGCCTATTGTTGATAAACTTCTAGAATTTAGGGATTAAGGGACATTATTAGTTTAAAGAAACTATGGAAAATATGTATATTAGTATGAAAACCTGTTAAGAAATTTCAGCAAGCTAAACAATACGGGACTCCAAAAACATTGTAAAAACTGTCAACGTTTGTGATATATTGCACTATTGAATTGATGCTATATTTTATTTAAAAATATTTAAGCAAAATATATAAAATCAGTGGCTGATGTACAGTCATGGCCAGTATCTTTGTTCATTTTCTTACAAATGAGATCATTATTATTAAGTGTGGCTTATAGCCCGTGAAAATTGATGGAGTAAGTACTACCACGTGCACCCCCACCCCACAGTATATCCTAACCTCACATTTCATAGCTAACTGAAATAAATTTAGCGAAATCAAGTTTGCCCAACAAAAGAGGCAAAAATTGCAGTCGACACAGTCAAACTTAGGTAAATTCCATTGTGAGCCAATCAAAATTAAGATCATTCATGAAATGAATTCGTGTCGTATTCATAGAATAATTATTGGTGAAAATCAGTTAGATTAACAACCTCTGATATATAGAAATGCTAGTGCGTTTTGGTAACCCTACGTTCCAACAATGGCTTTTATGTCATGTTGCTCAGCAAATATAAATATAAAAATATAACCTAATATTGTGGTTAGTCTATGTACTGAAACTATAAAATGAAATGTATTGACAATAAAACTTGAAAAATATTTGCTGATTTCTTAATTTAGAGTCTCTGTTGATTAAAGTGGTTTCTTTTATTATCAAAAATCTTGGTGATATAACAGAAAATGACTTAATTAAGAAACGATTTAAGTTTAAAACTGAATTGATATTTTTAAATTCATGATAAATTTTATGTACTTGGCTCTAGGCTAGGTGATCCCACACTACATATCTACTTTAGGCTTATTATATCAACACTCACTACACCTTATAAGGTTTCACGGCACCCTCTCACTCACGGTCCCCTCGCACCCCGTCGCTAAAATCGTAATGGGCAGACAGTAATCGAACTATTCTATTTGGATAAATGCATTTTGGCTTTTAAAACTCCTTTTCTTTTGATAAATCAAAAGAAACTAGCGTGACGTGACACACACTAGCTTTTATATAGGTTAGATAGAATACAAATACATTTGGCACTGTCAAACTGAGAAATGTATGTTATATTAAACATCTATATATGTAATTTGTGTAATGAGATAGATTCTGTGGACATCATGAACGACTTATTAGAACAACAAACAATTTCATCAGACACCTATAGACAAATGTGTAATTCAGCATTTCACCTATCACAACAAAACCTTACCAAAACATATATAATGACAAATATAATATATACATTATTGTAACCTTATATCAGTTCATATTTAACATTCAGTATTTGTTTGGTACTCCTCGTATTTTAATAACCTCCACAAGGCCATGTGGCATGCTGTTGATAATATTATTGATGTAATCCACCGTGATTTCATTCCAACTTGTCACTTGCTTAGGGTCGTGGTTAGCAATTTTCCGGCTCAGTTCTGCCCAATAGTTCTCAATGGAATAACAGTCTGGAGACTTTGCTGGCCATGGTAGTCTTGTAACGTCTTCCTGGTCGAGATAATCCTGTAATATGTGCGCTGTGGGCAGTGGCATTATTATCCTTAAACACAAAGTTATTACAAAACGTTGTCCTAGGATGTGGCGGAAATATCGTCTCCATGTGATGCCTGTAGAAGCCGCCATTGATGTTTCCTTGAAGGATATGAAGATCACTTTTTCTACCATGATGAATAACTACCTAAACATGTACTGCACCACCTCCTGTGTGTCTCCTGTGAGAAAGATAGTCTTCCCACACAAGTCCTATCATTAGCTTTAACAAGCCGAAAACAGGACTCATCTGAAAAGATGACATGTCACCAGTGTCCTAACTGTAAGTTGGCATTCTGGATACCCTGGTATGTGTTCATGTCATTCCTGTCGTAAGACTTTTTTCAGCCTTGACATGTTAACCTGATCAAAACACGGTCATCTCGGACAGTATTGTTTCAGCGTCTACTAGTAGACTTTCCTGAAATAACGTTTCCTGTAGTCTGATGACGTTTCAGGAATCTGGTAACAGTACACTGGGGACTCTCTACTGTTCTGGCGATGTCCGTTTGATTCATACCATTTCTGGAAAGTCGAACAAATTGACGTCCTATAACTTCTGGCAGTGGAGTAGTTATTAAGTAAATGCCTGAGTTGTAACAGAGAAGGTAGCGTATGATCGGACAAACATGTACGAGTTGTTATTCTGGTCTGTATGGTTGGTTTGAGCATTTGTTCGTCAAACACACATACACACCTATTTTATTTAAAATTTTGGTGTAATCTTTTACGAAACAGATTGACGCTTTGTTCAAACAGTTTCTCTGTACTTTGGTGTAGAGTCATGCCTCGTCACAGCATGTAGACAATAACATCAGTATAGAACAGTATGTAAACATTTTGACCAAGACTGTAGTATTGAAGATTGTGCTGAAGTTTATTTAATGTTCACTCGTGCTTTTGAATGAAGTAAATCTAATTTTAAATAACTGTGATAGTTTGGTAAAAAATTACATTTTATTTTTACTAAAACATTTTTTCGTAGCATTAAAATGAAAGACAATCTATACTTTATAATGTTTAATGTTATTACATTGTAATTCTTACCTTCTTTTGACATTCGTTGTCTAGGGTATTGTCAATTGGCCTCTCGAACATTTCCTGAATGAAATTTTCTATAAAGTAGAACACGTACCGAAGTGGAACCCAACTGTTACCGAGACAAAGGTAAAAAACAAAACAAAATAAAACAACGTAATTTATATGTAATGAGAATAATAAATAAAACCAATAATATCTCAAGTTTAGTGGGTTTTTTTTGGTAACCTCAAGTTCCCTGTCTAGTGGCTAGCATGCAAAGATTATGAATGCGGGGATTTATGGTTCGTGACCTTTTTACGCAAACCTCTCCCCACATTTTTAGGTCGTAGGTGAGCTATAAGACAGACGGTCAAATCCCATTATTTGGCGAGACAAGACTACCCTAAGAGTGGGCGGTGGGCGCTCTCTTTTTTCCTCGGATCTGTCAGTTCGAAGTTAGGGACAAATATGACGCAGATAGTCCTCGTTGCTTTTTTTTTTTACCGCAAATCTACACACAATGGGCTATCAGTGCTCTGTCCACCAGGGGAAATCGAATCCCGGATTTCAGCATTTTTAGTCCATGAAGTTGTCGGGAGAACCTTTGTGTAGCTTTATATGAAAATTCTTAAAAAAAGACATTTATAATAGAAGTACCACAATGGGCTACAATGAGCTCCTTCCACCGCAAGGAATTGAAATCAGGATCTTAGCATCATAAGCCCTTAAACTTATCGCTAACCCCTGGCCCTTGGGAGAGATATAAAGTCAAGAATTAAGTGATAGTTTATGAACCATTAATCGTCAGTTTTCCGTTGAAACCTCTCCCGTGACATAGTTTATTGAGACAGAATCTTTTGAAGGGAGTTTTTTTTAAAGATATATTTCAATTTTCTCCTAAATATATTTAATCGTATGCTACACAATATTTTAATTTCTTCAAGTGATAAAAATAAAGATAATTAGAAATTGTTTAGATTTTAACGAAACTATCATTTATAACCTAGCAAATTAAAAACAAACACAGGTTTCGAGTTTGAATGTTCGTGTGATTGTTTAGTTTCTGCTGAGGGTTATATGAAATTTTAATTTTCTAATACAAATTGCAATTACTTATAGTAATCCCTTTACTCTTGATACGTCATTGTTGTTAGGAGTGTCATTGAGATACTGTATAAACAATTAAACAAATCCGATAACTCTCGAGTGCTTGCGGAAGGTGGCCTTCCATCTTCATCAGATGTGACATATTAATGGAAGAACGTCACGACATTATAATGGCGACCATGTTGTGTCGCAAAGTTTTCAATTTTATAAACGTACTCTGAATCTTTTGTTTTTTTTATCAAATTATTTCACCACATTTGCACTTCAGTTTCATGATGTCCTTGATGATCACAAGCCTTATCTTAGTTCTTTATTCACATTTGTTGCTGATAAACGAAGGCCCATCTTTTCAAAGCGTCGAGATTATACGTTCCTGTTTTTGATTGTGTTTTAATTAATTTTGTGATACTACACGTTTTCCAAGTATCAATAATTTATTTATTGTAATTGGTAGAAAAACGTTTCCCTTCTACAGAATGTCTGAGAACTTTAATGGACTGTAACTGCTTGTTGAAAGAAAAGAATTCGTCGTTTCGGATACTACGCTAAAACTTCCCCATCTTTTAAGAGGTATTTGCAGTCCATTAAAGTCCTTAAAGTAATATCTACTCTACCGAAACAATATCGCCCATTCTGTACTAACCATAAAGATAATGTCAGTTTAGAGGATAACGTGATTCCCTTATCTAAAGACATCAAAATTAACATTTCTGTTTCAGATTCTTCGTAGAATAAATGAGCAAACAGACATTATACACATCGTTTCAGCACCTGGAGCTAAAGGCCTTGTCTCTGGAAGGTAAGTGAGGCTTGGAATCTTCTCTGTAAGGACCGATTTAAATATAGCCAGTACTCTTTTGCAAAGGTAATGAATTTTCGTCAGAATTTTCATTTTCTTCGACAGAATTTAAGTAATATGAGTCTATACCTTAGAAGAGCCGACAGAGAATAAAGCTTGATTCTGTTAAATACTGTGTACACGAAAACACCAGCAGCTAGTCAGGTGTAATTTTCTCGCACACAAGGGCTTAATGATTAGCGTGCTAGGCTGCGTATCGGAAGGACCGATGTCCAAGCAACGATATGTCGCTGAACTCACTTCGCACTGTCAGTTATTATATGGACATTATATCTGAGCCCAACCCATTGTTTGGTTAAGAGTAGCCACGAAGGTGCTTCTGACCGGTCGCCCTTCCTCAGTTTTAAGCAGACCTAAGTTAGGTCGTTTAGCCTATGTGTCGAATAAAGTGCCGTTCAGTTGGAAGTACCAACTATTCCTCCTACGTAATTCGCATTTTATTATTACAGCTTATGTAAAATTAACAGTATTTTATGCTTGTCTCTTTTGTCTCTCACATACTTCACACCCTGTTATTACAGCGTGTGTCAAATCAAAGCATCTTATACTATAGTAGAGAAGGTGAGAACAAAAATAAGTATGTCTCAAGATCCTTTGAGACACTTACGCTGCTGAGATCAGGTCATTTTTCTCTTCAAGTGCTCCACATTCTAGCATTACAATCCATGAGAAGTCATTTTCATCTTTTATAGTAATAGGTCGAGTTTTTTCTTTTCTAACTGACACTCTTCCCATTTTATTATTAAAAGCTGTTTATAGTCAATGAATTTCGTGTTGCAGTACAATCTGTTTATAGTCAATGTATTTCGTGTTACAGTATAATCTGTTCATAGTCAATGAATTTCGTGTTGCAGTACAATCTGTTTATAGTCAATGTATTTCGTGTTACAGTATAATCTGTTCATAGTCAATGAATTTCGTGTTGCAGTACAATCTGTTTATAGTTAATGAATTTCGTGTTGCAGTATAATCTGTTTATAGTCAATGTATTTTGTGTTACAGTATAATCTGTTCATAGTCAATGAATTTCGTGTTGCAGTACAATCTGTTTATAGTCAATGAATTTCGTGTTACAGTACAATCTGTTTATAGTCAATGAATTTCGTGTTACAGTACAATCTGTTTATAGTCAATGAATTTCGTGTTACAGTACAATCTGTTTATAGTCAATGAATTTCGTGTTGCAGTTCAGATCCTTTTCTTCTCTAACCCACTTCACGTCCTGCCATTACAACCCACTTGAAGTCAGCACAACTATTTTTCACGGGATTAATTAGAACTTGTCCTCCCTAACAGAGCTTACACTACTGTATTAAAGTCCATATAATACTAATGCTTTTAACTTCACTGTGATTATGTTTGTGGGCCAGCCTTACCTTTTCTATTACAACTTAACTTCTACTAAAACACATACGAAATTAGTTTACTTAGTTTCATGGGAATATTGTTGGTACTCCAAAACTTCTACATGATCTGCATGTAAAAGTTTATTTTTATAATCCATGCAATGTTTGGGGGGGGGGGGTAATGATAGGTAACGATCAAAATATCGGTGTTTGGCAACATGATTCATGTTATTCAGCTCAACAGTTTTATTTATACATTTTATGATTTCCTATTTTTCAGGATGTTATTGTTAAAGTAAAAATAAAAGTCTGAGTACTTACATATAAAACTTTTTTGAAGAGAAATTGCTTTCTGAATCAGTTCATTTCCCTTTAACAGAGACTTCGTGACACTGAGGACATGGCAGAGACGGGGAAACAGTATTATTCATGGAATGGTTTCTGTAACTGTTCCCGAAATGCCGGAGCAACCTCCGAGAGTGCGGTAAGATGCTATGATAGTCTAAATTAAAGTTATATTTTCTATAAACAAGTCTGCTAAGTCTGTTGCCGTCTTTAGGTATTGTCCTGATTTAACGTACATACGACTTTCACAACATTTCTGCTGCTAAGTCTGTTGCCGTCTTTAGGTATTGTCCTGATTTAACGTACATACGACTTTCACAACATTTCTGCTGCTAAGTCTGTTGCCGTCTTTAGGTATTGTCCTGATTTAACGTACATACGACTTTCACAACATTTCTGCTGCTAAGTCTGTTGCCATCTTCACGTATTGTCCTGATTTAACGTACATAAAACTTTCACAACATTTCTGCTGCTAAGTCTGTTGCCGTCTTTAGGTATTGTCCTGATTTAACGTACATTCGACTTTCACAGCGTTTCTGCTGCTAAGTATGTTGCCGTCTTTAGGTATTGTCCTGATTTAACGTACATTCGACTTTCACAGCGTTTCTGCTGCTAAGTATGTTGCCGTCTTTAGGTATTGTCCTGATTTAACGTACATACGACTTTCACAGCGTTTCTGCTGCTAAGTATGTTGCCGTCTTTAGGTATTGTCCTGAGAAAGACAGTTTATTAAAGTTGAAATGAATGTAAAGTATTGTAATTTATATTACAGTTTTCATTAAGTAACAATCATTTGATTGTGTTACTTAACTCTTTGTTTAGTTCTCTTAAACACCCATTTTTTTGTTAGGTGAATAAGAACGTTTATGTAATATTGCATTTTTTGACTGATTTTATGCTTAACTTCGAATAAACAAACAAAATCCCATTTCGGCTCTTACGTCTGGTGCCATCTTCAGGTATTGTTCTAATTTAACTTACATACGTCTTTAACATTTCCACTACTACATCTGCTGCCATCTTCAGGTATTGTCCTGACTTAACGTAGATTCGACTTTCACAACATTTCGGCTGCTAATTCTGCTGTCGTCTTCAGATACTATCCTGATTTAGCCTCACGTTTTGGCTGTTAGGTCTGCTGACATCTTCAGGCCTGAGAAAGACAGTTTTAAAGTTGAAAAAATGTGAATTATTATAATTTATATTACAGTTTTCATTAAATAACAGTCATTTGATTGTTTTACTTAACTCTTTGTTTAGTTCTCTTAAACACCGATTTTTTTGTTAGGTGAATAAGAACATTTATGTAATATTACGTTTTTTTACTGATTTTGTGTCTTCTATTAGGAATTTCTGTCTTTAACTTGCAGTCCAGATTTATGTTATTTTATAACTCTTTATGTTTTATAATTCACGATAGAATACCAGTATAATCTGCGTTTGAATTCTACCGTATGAGAAGACTGACAGTATATACTTAGAAGCCAAAATGTTATGCACCGAATAATTACATTAAAAGTTGATTCTTCAGCTTCAAAGCATATCGTAATGTTTTCATCTGAACATATTTTTATGGAAATGCAAAACGATTTCGTAATTTCACAGAAAAGATATTGGCATAAGGTAAATGATTAAATTCTTCACAGAAAACAAAAAGAGAAAATAACAATAATTAAGAAAAGTCGTTTGAGGAAACTCTAATTTTGCATCACAACTTCTGTTTATTGAACTATTATGTTTCATCTTAATTCAAACGTGGTACATTTCCATACTCGTTAATTTATTCAAATTCTCTGATCGTAAAACAACAAAACGTGCTTCTTTAGTTTCTGTAAAACCTTAGGTTTTGAAATTATATATAAGAACAAAATTCACGTTTTGATATATATATTGTTTCCGATAAATATAAACGTTGAAGTGAAGTGTGGCTTACATAATTGTGGTAGGAAATGCAAATCTTTGAAATATTCAGAGTAAATGAAAAGTAATGAAACATATAGCAGTTCTCCTAAAACTGCTCAAAGTTACAGGAGGACGGAATTTATTAATTATTATTCTTATAATTGTTTTAATAGAAATATAATTTGTGTTGCAAAACCTTTGCTCAAAGAAAACTTTCGATGTTGTATGTCCTTCATTATACATTGTGTATTTGGCAAGACAGGTTTTCGATCATCACAATCCACATCAGTTAAATTATTTTGATTATAAATGAAATCATTGCAGAGGATCTAATGTGTCAAAGATTTTTTCACTTGTAATGAACGAAGTTAAAGCTACTCTTCTTACAGGAATATTTAGTATTGGCTGTATTCCTGTCCAGGTAAGCCTTGGCTTAATGTATTCGGGTAGAAACAATGGGAAATTTTTATTCCAACCCGAGAACACGAGTTAAAAAGTGTAAATAAAAGCTAACTTTCAATGTTTACAGACCTGGCATGACCAGATGATTAGGGCACTCGACTCGCAATCTGAGAGTCGCGGGTTCGAATCCCCGTCATACCAAACATACTCGACCTTTCAGTTGTGGGGGGTGTAAAACCTAAGAAGAGTTGGTGGTGGCTTTCCATCTAGTGTTACACTGCTATATTAGGGACGGCTATCGGAGATAATCCTCGTGTAGCTTTGTGCGAATTTCAAAAAATAAATATTAATTCGTGCTGATTTGTTCGAGAATTTTTTTTAACATTTTCATTGACTCACCATACTGATAATTTTCTAACCCTATTTCACTGGAAATCTCTGTATTTTTTAAGTCACAGTCTTCTTTTCTCTTAAAGACATAATTAAAATTTCATGCCTCGCCAGCTAACATTTTCTCTTCTCCTCTTCATTTTCTAGCTAAGTTGTTCTACTCAATCTGAGAACTTGCTCTATTTATTTTTTAACTAGAACGTCCTAGTCACCTCAAGACTTGCCTTTTATACTTTTTACAATCAACGTCTCCTCCTATTCCCCAATCACATCATAAACATTATCTTATATGTAAAATACTTGCTATCTTTTTGTTTAAATATGTTAACTACTTAATGAAATAATAACACTGATGCTTTTTTAAAACAGGCACATAAATGGTAAATTATACAACTAATGTTTTTAAATATGTGAATGCAATTTGAGAGCATTTTATGACTTTCCATACAAAAATTGATACAAAAGAAAGCTGGGAAGATTTATATATATAGTTTAACTTGTAAGGCAGCATTTACCAAAGTGTGGGGCACGTCCCCCAGGGGGCGAGCGATTATGGTAGTGTCAATAGTGCAATAATGCAAATTAAGCATTTTAATATATATTTTTATTAATTAAAATAATAGATAATTACTAAAACACAGGGGCGTGTGTGTGACAAAATTTTGTAAAACGCTGTTCTAATGCATGGGAAACATGCTGTTTATGTTTCCTATCGATCAGGAATGGAGATGTAAATATTGTTTATTTTAAGATGACTAAAAACCTAATGTTTGAAAGAGGGCGTGTTTCTATTCGAAACTGAAATGCTTAGTTTATCAAATGTATTTCCATTTTGTTACTAAATACCATGTAAATTATTTCGAAGAGTTGTGGACAGATATTAATTGTAAATGTTGAAGTGTTTTGATCAGCCTTTCGTTTTAATTGCAAGAATATCTTTGGATGAAGTACATCTAGACATAAACAATATAATCCGTTTTAGGTTCTGTAAACTCTGTGGTAACCATTTAAAGACACTTCTATTCTTACTCCTGCAAGAGTTTCTACAATTCTTATGTTAAGTGACTGTGGTCATTAGATTGTTGTTATCTACAGTAATCATACTTAAATAAACTAAATGGAACTTAGTGTCATTTTATTTCACCGCGATTCTGATAAAAAACTTTTGTTTTTGAATAGTGGTGAACAAGGGCCTAGCGTCTACATCTTAACTCCAGTAGAAGGCTGCCCCAACAAATGCCAAATGCAGTGGTTATCAAATGCCAATCTCAGGGTTAGTTATTGGTTTTATTACTACACTTTTCATGGTTTTTACATTGCTTATTGTTTAAATTCTATAATTTAGCTAGTTCAGATTAGATGTAGGGTAGAATTCTAGTAGAAGTGTTTCTTGTTTATAGTATCTTATTAACTCTAAAACAAGGAGTCGATCGTACAGAAATTAGTGGCTGTGTTGATTATCACAAAATCTGATGAATGACAGAAAGCACTAAAACTGTCTTTCAATAATAATTTAGTACTATAGCTTTTGAACAAAGCTATAAAGCTTGTAATAAAATCTTAATTTGAAAATGAGATCTTCCCCTGTTTTATGTCAAGATTTTGGTGAAAGACCATTGCCTTTTGTAAAGGAATTTACTTAGAGAAGTCCTGTTTTCAGGGCTAAACTAGGCAATATACACTGGGAAAATGTCCGAAAGTCATGTTTACCCTAGTGTCCTTTACAAGGATAAGGTTGGAAGGTGTTATGTTTCCAGTAAATTCAAACATTGTGGATGTAGTCATTATGGGATTTCTGTTGAAGGTAAAGCGATCTGAAAGAGAGTTCGTTCAAATAACGTTAGAATTCAATTAATAGAGGACAATGAAACTCTGAAGTAGAAGGAATGATAAGAATAATATAGTCGCTGTAACTACTTTCATTGTTTTTGACCGTTCAGTGATTAGTAGACATAGATATTGTTGACCAGACCTTAAAAAACGAAAGTCGTAAGAAATAGTTAAAAAACGTATATTGTTTTTTTACTTAATTGTGCAGAATGTCCTAGATCATGTTCAAAATCATTTTTACAGTGCAAGTCAAGGTAAAAGTGCAATGGCTTTGAGGAAAAAGTCTTGCTTTAGGAACACTTCTTATCAACATCAAAACAGCAGAGCCAATTGTGGTACTGTAGTTAACGTGCCTGAATATGTGGGCCCAACATTCGTTTTCCGTGACCGCAAAATAATAAAAAGTAAGATGATAATAATAACTGAAACAAAATTAAACACATCTTCACATTTTGGGACTGTGGAAGTGCTATAAGGACGATGTTTTAAAGTCCACTGTTCGGTCAGACAGGAGTAGCCCAAGAGTTGGTGGTTGAGGCTGTTGACTAGCTATCTTCCATCTAATCAATGCAAAATTAGGGATATCTATCACTGACAGTCCTCGAGTAGCTTGGCACGAATCTAAAAAAAAAAACAAAATCAGTATTTTGGAAGTTTCTTTCATTTTTCGAAGCAACAGATCGAATCCTAACCTTGTGTAGTTTAGAGGGGAAATTAGCTGCTGTTCTCTAATCGGTGTTTAGGTTGCCTCCAAAACATGGTAAGTTCTGTACGACCAACTCACGCTTATAGTCTAAGATCAAAACAAAAAATAATTTCTTACGAGATTGTATTTCAAGTTAAACCGAAACTTCTATTGTTTCCTTTGCGTACGTGTGTAATATATATAATAAGGCCGGTTTTAAGCAGCCTCACCTGTTGAAAGACAAGCATTTAGTGTAATTAATTTTATAGATGATATCGTTCCGACAATGTTTTATATTGTGTGCGAAGTACTTTGTTTGGTTTTCCAGGGTTGGCTTCCACAGTACTTGATCGACCAGGCAATGTCTACCGTTATGCTCGACTACGTCGCTAACTTACGGAAGTACGTTAACTCTCAAACACAGACTTTTAGGCAGTTTCACTAACTCGTCTACTGTAATAACATCAGTTGTAAATATCATGCAGGATTGTGGAACTCCGATCTGACGAAACAAAACATCTGGAAAAAGCTCAGTGTTATAATTAATTTCATAATTAACGTAACATGTTCATTCTGGGTAACTTGGATTTGGTTCAGCGTGATCATAATCCATTCTAGTCATGGAATGGGCTGATATCACTGACTGAACTTCAAAATTTATCATCAGTAATTTTATCTGAATCAAATATTTCACAGAGTACGGTAGCATCATCCGAGCATTCCACAACATACAAAAAACGTAATATCAAGTTAGGCGTAAAGTTAATTTGCAAAATAGCCAATCACTGGTCATTAGATTAAGGAAGGGGCAAATCGACTGAAATAAAGAAAAAGAAGACTCAAGTCACGCAGCTAGATCAATACACACCTTAAGAAGACTGAAGTCACTCAGCTAGGTCAATACACACCTTAAGAAGATTCAAGTCACGCAGCTAGATCAATACATACTTTAAGAAGACTCAAGTCACGCAGTTAGACCAATACACACCTTAAGAAGACTGAAGTCACTCAGCTAGGTCAATACACACCTTAAGAAGATTCAAGTCACGCAGCTAGATCAATACACACTTTAAGAAGACTCAAGTCACGCAGCTAAATCAATACACACCTCAAGAAGACTCAAGTCACGCAGCTAGTTCTTAAGGTGTGTATTGATGACTCAAGTCACGCAGCTAGATCAATACACACCTTGAGAAGACTCATGTCACGCAGCTAGATCAATACACACCTTAAGAAGACTCAAGTCACGCAACTATATCAGTACACACCTTGAGAAGACTCACGTCACGCAGCTAGATCAATACACACCTTAAGAAGACTCAAGTCACGCAACTATATCAGTACACACCTTGATCTAAGAAAATAAACTTCATGCCTTGTTTCGAGACCACCAGATACCTCAATCAGAAAAAGGAAAATAGAAAGCCATAAAGCGGTTGTCCAATAAGCAGTAAGTTATTTAAAGAAATTTTATCTCTGTTAAATTCCGAGATGAGTTGTCAACTTGCTGAAAGAAATGGCGCTTCGGTAATTTTACTATTATTAAACAATGAGATTAGTCGTTATCTTGATGCTAAGAAATATCTCTTTTGCCACATTTTAAAATGAACACCCAATTAGAGATGTAAAACTATCGAGAGAGTTCGTGAAAAGATTTGCAAACAACATTCATTTTATCCTCGCTCTTAAACATTTCGCAAGATAATGTTGTATGCTATTTGATAGAAAACAGAGTATTTTTGTCACAATGCACATAGGAAAAGTAAGTTTTGTATTATAAGTGAGATTTCTCGATAACGAAGTATTTAAGTTCATAAATAATTAATGTATATTTATGTTTTCTCACTTCATTAGTTGTTGAAATGAAATCAACAACAACAACAAGAAATAACATATTTAAAGAAATATAGATTATTATATGAAATAATGTTTTAAGTATTACAGCGACCTCTGTTTTATTGTTATTGCAATCTTTATGAAAAATGTAATGCAGAACCTGATCTGAACCGTACTGTTTCAATTCTATTTTGTTTCGTAAATTGGATTGCTGTACTGTATAGATAAATTCTCTATGGATTGTTTTTCTTTTTCTCAGCATATGTATCACTTATGATGTATTTTTATTCTTTTGGTAAAATATGTATTTTGATTAAAATATTTGACTGAAATATATACGTATTTATAGATTATCATTTCACACATTTCCAATATATTTAGCATAATCATTGCATTTATGGTATTGGAAACTCGTAGCGTTTGTTTGTAATGAAGCACAAAGCTACACAATGGGCTATCTGTGCTCTGCTCACCACGGGTATCGAAACCCGGATTTTAGCGTTGACAGTCCGCAGACATACCGCTGTGCCACTTGAGGGCAACTCGTAGAGAGAGAGAGATATTTTTGATAATGTTTCGTTTTAGCTCTAACTTCCATAAAATGTAAATGGATGAACTGTAACAGTGGGACGAGTCGTCGTTTATCGTGCTTCACAAAGATTTGTACTATCAATGATAACTTGACAACCGATTATAAGATTATTTTGATACATTACAGTTGGGTTCAAAGAAAAAAACTTCTTGAATTATATAACATTTGAGTCATTTGGGGACGCCAAAATGAAAATATGATACATATACGACTAATTTCAGCAATAGTTACTCGATATGGTTGTTGATAAATCTTCTTAATATGTTTCACTTTTGTAACTGTCATACTTAAATAATTATTTGGTTTGGCTTAACGAAAATTAAAATATATAAAAAAATGTTTTTATAATATATTCTAGAGTACTATCTGCATACGTTCTATTATTTGTACTAGAAGGCGCCACGAACTTAAAACTTAATAAACTTGAGAGTTGTTACTTTAGATTGGTTATGAAGAATGTGAACGTTTAGAACTGGCCGAATTTCATCGATTAAGAGAATAGTCCGTCGCATAAAGTTGTGAAAGTTTGTAAATTAAATGGAAGACGAAACGTAGTTGACCTACAGAGATAGTGGTTCGATCTATACTACTCTAGCATCACGAGGAAAAACAAGTTCACACAAAAAAAAACCTTAGCCAAGTGCGGAACACTACATATAAAATTCACATATCAAATTCAAGTTACATCTTTAACCCAATAATATCAAGTTACGTCTTTATCATACTAAAATCACAAGAAAGAAACATGTTTGCGGAAGACAAAGGCTAACTTATCTAGAGAATGCAGTGTATACAGTATGAAAATGAAAGGTTTGTTTCAAAGTAAGTTAACACTTTGGACACGCTAAAAACCGTTGTAACACTCTTTAAAATATATAAAACTGTTAGTGACAGAGCAAGAGCCAAACTTTCCTTACTTACTTACGCAACACCTACACACATCTGAGTTTACAGGAAAATCTGACTACCCCGTTATAACGTCAGTACTTGACTCTTCATATCTTTCGCAATGTGTCCTCAATTTTGGTTTGAAACATTCTTTTAATAACAATATATTGATAGCATCATTATTTTCAGTTGCTTCTTTAACATTTGAATTGTATAATTTCAATATCACAAGTACCATCATTAGTTAATTAAAAACCATTTCCAGGTGGACTTATAGGACCCTGAGATGTATATTTATATAGATTACCATATGGAAACCAATAACTCATTTATTATTGTTAAATAATTATTGTGGTTTCAAAACTTTTATTATAAACATTCGTTATTCCCTTTCTTTTTTTTCAACCAATAAGAAATAAGATATATATGATTTTGCTGGAGTTTGTCTGAGATGCCAGAAGAACTCAGTCTTCAACTAGTGACGCCATTATATGAGATGTGGTTCGAAATGTCGAAACAAACTATTGGATACAATAGTAACTGGTATAGCTTACTAAACGTCCAGTTTCTGTTTTGATGTTACTTAACCCAGCTGCTAACAAATCTGAATAATATCTAGAATAATCTGATTCTCCATCTTTGAACGATAAATTATAACCTTCAGAGGGAATTTAACATTATTAATTCTTACTCATGTTCTAAACATATCAAGATTATAGAAAATTATATTGTTTTCGTTTTGATTACTTTCTTATCTTGAAACTGAAGAACAACTTAAATGCTTCTAATTTCATCATTTGTTGTGTTTAGGACCGCTCGATCCATTCTAAACATTACTTTTAATAACTGTTACACCATTCCAATTTATTTCAACATTAGCTTTAGATATTTTATTTATTCAACTTGTTATTCTGCATAGAGTTTAATATGAGGTATCGATAACGAAATATCGCTTACAACAACTTTATATTTCTGATTAAGTACATCATTATTACTTTCATTTCTAGATAAAACAAATCTCACGTCGATATTTCAAATAATTCTTCTGAAGTCATTAATAATCCAAAATATTTTATAATCGATATCTATAATTTTAGTTTATTATTATTTTTTGTTAGAATCCATCTTTTTATAAAAACCTTCGTTGTGTGAGGTATTTTGTTTACGTGTTGATACCAATTTATTACTTTTACCCTTACCACTCTCACCGTCCAGTGTTGCTGTCCCATCGTCAACAGATATTAAAATCTGTTTATTTGGAATTTCTGAAATATGATATAGAATAACATATTATATTCTTCGTTCGGGCTATAATCGTATGTGAAATTTATTAATATCTGTAAATGATGAGCGAGACAAGGTAATTCAATTCCTTTAACCAACGTCTTACCAATATATAATATATTTCCTGCATTGACGAGTGTTACATCATCTGTTCCAATTGAGGAACCATATAATTCGGCTCTTATAAAATATTTCCTCTATTAACGAGTGTTAAGTTATCTATTCCAATTGAGAAACCATCTTGTTTTGTAGTTTTTGATTCTGGACAAATATAACCATTAGAATATAATATGTTATCGTTTATATCTTTAATGTAGAAGTTATATCTGGCTGTCTTTGTTTCGTCGATACGCTTATTTTCATGATGTTGTTTATATTTAAAACTTTCTATAGCTTTTGATCTCAGATTATTTCCCTTTATTTAGAATTAAAATCTTTTAACCCCACTTCCATATTGCGTTTTAGGTTTTTATTTAGAATAATAGATACTGATTTTATTTTTAATATTTTACTTAATTTACTTTCTATGAGCTTATCGGCATTAATATGTTTTGCTTTGTTTAAAATATCAATAAATATACTTTTCCCATGATATTTTCGATTTTTTTACAAATAAACGATGCTTGTTATGATTCATTTATTACTACTTAAAAGTTATTTATATACAACATGTTGTATGTTTAAGTCAATTGGATGACCGTTTTTATTTGTAATCTTGCTTTTGATTCTATGAATAAAACTTTATATGGTAATATATGAGTATATTGGATTTGTTTCTTCAATTTTGATTAAACTTCCTGGTGGGTTGGAAGGAGTAATAAAATACTAAATATCGCTAGACTCATTACTGTATAATACTCTATTGATAACATCAAAAGGAATATGAATGCCGCCTACACTTTTAGATATGTTAGCTGTATATTTTCCTCTTTGTTCTTGATTGGAACAAATTTTAGGTTTAAATTCTAATAATTTGTACAGCTTTCCTACAGATAAGTCAGTCTGATAATTTGGAGCTAATTTGTTTATAAACCTCGAAGTTGTAAATTGAATACCAGATTTTATAGGAAGATAATCTACAATGAATAATTTAACTAAAAACTATTTATCTCACATAGAGTATAACTTCTATTTTAAATTGTTACTTTTCAAATAGTTCCATCATAATATTTAAAGGTATTGTTATTAAATTTTTCCTTAGCGTTATTCCAATGATACCCATATTCACTTAGATTTTTGATGCTAAAAAATAATTTCCATTACTTACATCGATAGGATTTTTAATTCTGTTGTAAAGTCCTCCGAATGCTTGCTTGTCTTGTCATTTATTAATACACAATTTTAGTTGAAATCACTCGGTGTCTGAGTAAATGTATATAACACTTCATAAGCACTATGACCGGCATTTCTTTCCTTCATATATTGTATACAATAATATCCACATCTTACTGTCTTACTGATACAGCCCCCCTCAGTGGCACAGTGGTATGTCTGCGGACTTACAATGCTAGAACGGTTTCGATACCCATGGTGGGCAGAGCACAGATAGCCCATTGTGTAGCCTTGTGCTTAACTTCAAACAATACTGATACAGTGTTTTGTAGAAAGCTCGAATTGTATCTAATTTCTTTTTCTCTTGATCTTAAATATTGTATCGTTTTTATTATTATTTCTTTCGAAAATTTTTCATGATTTATTTTATATTCTATGTAAGGATTGAAATATTCAATGAAGTTATATTTTGGATCATTGTCATAACAATCCAATGAGTATCAGGTTCTCTACTTTTATCTAAATTAACAATTCCACTTTCAGATAATTTTATCTTCTTAGGTAATAAATCAATACCCCTGAAAACTTTTTCATCATTTTCTCTCTAACTTCACTACTCAATGTAGTATTTCCAAATTTTTCTTACAGTCACATCCTTTATGATATTCAGATCCACTATTTATCCATTATTTGTTTTGCACCGTAAGCGCCCAGCTCACCAGCTATTAATGTAGTTTCAAAAATGGTAAAAAGCCTCCATTTTGTTTTAATAATGTTTGAGATATTTTAATCTTCTTCCTATTATTTATCTGTTTAATGTGTGTTAAAAACATTTGATGATTAGGCTTTATATATTTATCTACTTGAAGTGAAACAACTATATGCTCTTTGTATGCTGTTTTTCTTTTTGAGTATTACTCAAATGCATGCTTTCTTTAATATAACTCATTTATTATATATCAAAATACTTTGTAATATTCTTCGATTTTATCTTTTGTCATCTTCCCTTTTTTAAGTAATGCGTCTAATAAATCTATGATTTAATCATGTAACGTTTTATGTTTGTTTTCTACTATTAACTTCTCAGTTAGTTTCTATAATTCATTGAACAATCCTTCACAACTTATTCTTAGAACTTTAAACGTATCTCTCAATACTTAATTTTTGATAAATAATTTGATATGACTTATTGCCTCTATATTTAAATTTGTATTTTATTTTTGGATATTTTTCTTTACTTTGGATAACCCTCTTATTTATGGATATTTATTTATTCTTCTAACTAGCCACGCCCAACAAAAGGTAGCTTTTATTCCCTTCACTTGAATTTTCCTTATTCTATAATTTTCATGCACGGCATTTAAGTTACGTTTTCTTGCAGGCATTGTGTGTTAGATCGATAAATTCTGATCCATTTGAAGAAAGTTTATGCGGTCAGACAAATAAATTCACGTAGACGTAACTTTATTTAACGAAACTACATGTACAGTAAACAACAAAGTATAATAATGGTATTTATAATAGTGTACAGAGTATGAAACAGTTATGAACATTCAGTGTATTACATGGTTTTACGAGTTGAAACAAAGAAACTCACAAAAACGAAGAATAAATTCCGTACTAAAAAGTAGCTAAAAAGTGTTTATAGCGGTCTAAAAAACAAACCGAAGCTAAATTATTGCAAAGTAAAGTAAAATGTAAAGTTCTAACGAAGGCAAACGTAGCTGAATATATAGAAACGTTTGAATGCGTGTTCACAAAATGATAAGCAAACGGTTTTGAACGAAATGAACATGCGTATTTTAGACCTAACTAAATCGAAAAAGACCAGACCATAGAAATTGTATTTAATGTAATACTATTTTTCACGAAATTACATGTGGGTTAAGTGTTGTTTGTGTGAAGTACTACCAAATAAAAAAAAACTAAAGTTGAAATCAAGGCCAGTCGTCACATGATGACAGCAACATTGTGCCATCGTATACCGTACTCGTTGCATTAAAAAGTTTGACTAAGCAAAAAAATGGAAAAGCCAATATACACCCCAGTCTCCTTGGACAAAGATCTTTCTGACGATATGGGATTTGTAGCGTTTGCTTTCTTGTTTGTTTGTAGTTAAGCACAAAGCTACACAGAAGGCTATCTATGCTCACCAAGGGTATCAGAACCCAGTTTCTAGAGTTATAAGTCCGCAGACATACCGCTGTGCCACTGGGGGACAGATACAGAATGAACTTTAATCAGTTATAAATAATGGAAGAGTCTTTAGAGAAGAAAACATTTGTAAACAAAGGCGTTATAAATTATATTCTGATAGTAATATATTTATGATATGTTTTCAATTTCCATTCAGTACTTCTGGCTTAACAGCGGTTGCTTTTGTTTCTTCAGCAACATTAAATCTAAGTGCCGGTGTCATTAAAGTAATTGATAGATATTTGAACATATTTGCTAGAAAGGAAGAATATAAAATGGCCTATAATTTTTACAAATAAATGCTAAGTTTATTTAAATATCAAAATATTACTGAAAATTGTTTGTTTTTAATTACGCACAAAGCTACACAAGGGCTATCTGTGCTCTGCCCACCACGGGTATCGAAACCCGGTTTCTAGCGTTGTAAGTCCGCAGACATACCGCTGTGCCACTGGGGAGAATTACTGAAGAAGAAATTAACTTAAAGAAAAAGATTTTATACAAACACTGAAATAATTTCCAAGAGAAAAATACATTAAACAAGCGAAGTCAAATGGATATAAATAAAATAAATAAAAAAAAATAAAGTGATGTTTGTTTGTTTTGAATTTCGCGCAAAGCTACACGAGGGCTATCTGTGCTAGCCGTCCCTAATTTAGCAGTGTAAGACTAGAGGGAAGGCAGCTAGTCATCACCACCCACCGCCAACTCTTGGGCTACTCTTTTACCAACGAATAGTGGGATTGACCGTCACATTATAACGCCCTCACGGCTGAAAGGGCGAGCATGTTTGGTGGGACTGGGATTCGAACCCGCGACCCTCATATTGTCGAGTGCCCTAACCACCTGGCCATGCCGAGCCAACTAATTGTGTAGTTTGAACTTAACTACAAACAAACAAATATTCGATAATGTACATACCGAATAGAAATATCTTAGTCACTATACAGCATAAAAATGATGATTTAAAACAAAATTCTTGTTTCAAATAAAGAAACAGAAAATATTGATGAAACCTACTGAATCAGAAATATGATTTGTTCAACATCTCTAAATGTATATTGTTACGACATCGGAAGTCACGTGACGCTAGTAACACGTCATGAGTTTCTAGAAGGATCATGACTGTTCCTGGCAACTCTGTGTTTGCCAGACGCCCTCTATTTTTGTATATAAGCCCGGCAAATAAAGTGGAGATAAGATTGCAGATAGAGATATAGAGACATATAACGGAGTAAAGCGAGCGGTAGCGACCGTAAGTAAAATGCGTGAATCGTTGTGAATTATAGCGTGTGTTGAAGTTAACGTGACTGTGGAAATTAAGTGTATTGAAAAGTTGTATTGAGAAAGAATAAACTATTTTTATTTAAGGAAGGACTTGTATGCTGAAGTTCTTCGGAAAGAATTTTTATGGGAAATTAACAAACGAACAGAGGCTTAACAATATTTATACTTTTAAAATTAAGATGTACGTTTATTATTGTATAAGTTACGCCGGTCTCAACAAAACTTGAACAACGACTCTCCTAGGTTATTCTCGAACAAGTTTCTTTCTCTTCCGCCATCTCTCGGTTTATTTTCAAACAATTTTAACACATCAAACGAGTGTTTCTTAGTGTTCTTGTTTTGCCAGTGCTCAGTTCTTTAGATAGTCCGTACATCCATCACAACTACACTTTGAAGCTTTCCCTCATGGACGAAGATAGGCTTATAATAGGCTTAACAGTCAACCCTATGGGCTGGAAAGAAATAAGGTGGGGAGGTGGTGGTTGAAAGTAGACATAATAACCTTTGTTCATTTTTAGCGAGGCATAGCGGCTCATAGAAAGGGTAAGAGGTTTTTCTTTATCAAGTACAAACTTTTAGCTCATAGTTCCGTCATGTATTGTCCTATTTGAGATATAATTACAGTTTTGAATTCAGTAGTTCAAATCCTTTCGATTGGTGTATTTGACCACGCACAATGTGTCATAGATTAACTTACTCTAATGCTCTCTAAAATAATTTAAATTTGAGGGTACGCTGGTAAAGATCCTGATGAGTAATAAAATAAAATCGGCCCCACGCCTAATATTGCTGGCGCCCCCCCAAAAAAAGGGCAATAAAAAGGAAAAAAGTTTTTATAGATTAAGTTACTCTAATCTTGTCTAAAGGAATTTCAAGTGATACGGCTATTGAGTATTCCCTCTTAAGTTCTATATTAATAAGTTTTTCATTGAATAATGTTGAAGGTTATGTGTGTTTACAATGATCGATACACTAAATATAAATCAATTAAACTTTATTTTAATGGGAATTGGTTCTACAAATTGTATGATACTCATAGGATCAATAAAATGACAAAATACCCCGCTAGAGCCTCACACAACTACGCTGAAGTGATGTTCAAATTTTCTGCTATCCACGGCAAAAAATGAGACACTCGTGTGTACACACCTGGAAAACCTGGTTCGCCGCACATATAACCGAACGAAACTATGCCTACAACAGCATATCTCCACTGTGTTACTACCACCAGAGGGCCTCCAGAATCTCGCTGAAAGAAAAAACCAAAACAAGAGTAGTAGCCTCAATAATTCATAAAATGAAAATATCAATTATCAAACCTTTAAGAAAACTATGTTGTCGTGAGACATTCATCTGTTATCATATACAGTGTATGAATTTTAAAAATAATTAGCTTAAAATATTTATTTGTTGTTAGCAAGTAACAAGGTTAATGATTTGTAATACCACTTCATTGTATTGCCGTCCTTTGTAAAGGGTGTTTTGAATTTTAAATATAATTATATAAGTTTTATTCGTTCAAGGATTTTAGTCAAAATTAAATAGAAACAAAAGGGTTTTAAATATTTTTGGTAAAATTCAGTAAAAATGCTTTCCAACAAAAGTTGCTTATGTCTGATTTCTTCAAAACTATCGATAGTAAAGTAAATTTAATATTGGTGAATTTGATATGTCCGGTCCCCTATCCTGTAGCCCACACCCAACCATTTTCCATAAAAGATGCGTGTGTGTTTTTAATAGTATTGAAACCCTAAGTAAAAACATAAATGCTATAATTTATCTTCTACAGAATGATTTTGATTGGTTTTTAAAACATCTATATTTCTATTATGATGTTTACGATGAAAATATTGTCTGAACTCGGCGTGATGTATTTGATAAAATATAAACTTTGTAGGCATGAAAATAAACAATCAGAATGATATTAATTATTCTCTAAACTTAAAATAATTTTTGCCTTCCTAATTCGTATCAAGAAGAACTGAAAGATAAACCAAACCTGGCATGCATCTACTCCTCCTTTCTCGTAACCAGCACATATAAATTGTTCAGTAATCCCATGCGGTAAGGCTTTTGCATTAAAATTCCGATAGGCGGCATTACAATCGATGTTTGATACGATGGGAATGTAAGCTTCTTGAAGAACTTCAGGTGATCGTCCACCTTATAATAAATGACAGTAAAATATTTTATTGGAAAATGTAAAAATTATCAAAATT